TAAAAAATAAAAAGGCCTGGGGATGTTGCTCATTGGTAGAGAGCCCCTTGATTCTGTCCCCAGTGCCACAAAACAGACCCTTCTCAGAGCTCTGGCTTTCTTCTTGCCCATCCTCACACATGTCACATGGTGATTTACACTTGTTTCCACGTTCTTATTTTCATTTCACACACAGTCCAGTCAGACTTCGGTCCCTCCCACTCAGGGCCGGCCACCATCTCTGGTCATCTCCAGTCATCTTCCTTGCCGTGCCTCTATTCCCGTCAAACTCCACTTCTCGTGACATCTCTTGGCACCCATGCCAGGTGCTCCTGTTACCCAAATTCTGTCCTGCGGTGACCCCAGGCAGTCCTCTGTGTCCTTTAGTACCTTTCCAGAGAAAAGAAGGTTCCCAGTCAGGACCCCCAGCTGTCACAGTGATAACTCCACCTGGTGGCCTGGAGGACAACCAGTGCACAGCTCCTCCCTCTCTGTGGCTAGCACTCTCCTGCTTCTCCCCTCCCTGCCCCTCCAGTCATGTCCACTTCCAATTCATCCCTTCCTGTCCCCTCCTCATCTCTCCCTTGCCCAGGCCTCTGCCATCCCTCCCTGGACCACCAGCCAGCCTTGCTCTTCTTCTCCGCTCCCCTCAGATCTGCCTGCTTCAGATGGGTGGTATCCTTTCTCACCGAGAGTCTCCTTCTGATACACCTGGTGACCTGCCCCGTGCTGGTCATGTCATGCTCCCTAGCCAGCTTGGCACAACCTCGCCATTTCTCCCTGTCACCTTGCGGACTCCAGGTCCAACTTTTATGCTTGTACTCATGTGGTAACCACAGCATCCCTCCTTGTGTCTGGGGCTCAGCTTCCTGACTCCCCACCCCACTCTTTTCTCATCTGCACGTCCATGGAGGATTCTGGAATGGCTCATCCTGAGCTGTGTGCTTGTTGTTTCCTTCCCTGTGCCCCTGCATGGTGGAGACACTGACTCGGTTTCATGTCTGCAGCCCAGGGACTAGGCTGGTCCCTGGCATGTCTAGTCTTTGCGCACAGAAATAACTGTGCTTTCTCGGTCTACCTTTCATCAGTATGACTCTCAGCAAAAGGTCAAACCCAGAGGTCTGGGACTTTGGTCAAGGGGTCTCAGAAGGGCTCCTTGTGGGGGATTTACCTTTGTTAAGAAGTGTTCCTGAGAGTTTTGCCCAGGGGAAATTGGCAGGGAGGTGATATTTCCTTTGATGCTTTGGTCCTCAGGAAAAAAAATGCAAATTGCTGTATATCTGTGCCTTATTGATATATTTCAAGGGATGTAGAGCTGTCGGAGGAGGTGTACCTCCAGAAGAAGCTCAGGCAGCTGGCAGCTATGTGAGGGGATGGTTAGGCTCCCAGTTACACCTAGGAACACCATTCCTTTCTCTCTTTGTGAGGCTGTGAGTTGTCACATTTCGCCACTTGCCCTTTCTGGGCCTCCACTCCCTTATCTGAAAAACGGACCCTTCATTATTCCAGTGGTGCTGCAGTGGGTGGGCCAGATAGAGCTGGTGGATGCATTTTATAAACTGCAAAATGCATGCCTATCACCCACAGACACAACACACGGGAGCGTGGCTGTTAATAAGCCAACTGAACCACTGGCCCTGTGATTCTGAAGTAGCTACCAGAACCTGATCTTACTGTGAGGCCTGGCAGTCATTGCAGCAGTGGGTCTTTTGTCCAGGGATCAGTGAATACTGACTCCATCAAAGTGATCCTGGCGTGGGTGAGTGGAAGGATTTTTTCCAGGAGCCTACCAGGGTGTGAATGGCAGGGCCTGGTGAGAATTTATTCACAGCTACTTAAGGGACAGAAATATCCTTTATGAGAGTGGTTTCCCGGGGCTGACCTTGTAGGGAAACAAAGAGCATTTAAGATGAATTGCAGGTGGCAGGAGAGGCGCTGCCCCAGCTCTGGAGAGGGGAAGTTGGTAGTCCCACTTCTGACTGGCAGGGCACTCTGCCCTGGGAGTCTTCAGCACTGGGTGCCCCTCTCGGAGAGAGTGAGGTGCCACGCAGGGAGCTGCTTAGGCCCCACCAGGAACTCACCAAGTGTGCCGATGGTTAACCTCCCCCTAGGGCAGCTCTGTTCTTTACAACCCAGAGAGTCCTTAGGAAAGTGGCCATTCCATCAGGCCAGAGTGAGAGCCTGGGGTAAGAGGAGAGGAGATGAAAAGCAGAAGAGCTGGGGAGAAGGAAGGAAGAGAGGGAAGTGCAGGGCTGGAGGAGGAGGGGCCATGGCATATACACACCTAGGCACTGAGCGGGAGGAGGCACAGGGAGGAGGAGCCCTTGGCTCCTGCAGGCTCACCTTCCCTTCCTCCTGTTTCTGTGGGAAGGGGCGCGTGGTGCTGTCCACTACAGAAAGCATCCCCCATTCCCTGGTGAGGGCCTGGCCCATGTAGCTGGCTGCCGCAGAGACATCCTTGTCCTTGCATGTGTGGCCCCTCATCCACAGTGAGCTACCCACGGTGCACAGCCTCTGTCTGTCTTTCCAGAGAGCAGAATGACTTCTGCACATCTGCCTGCTGACAGTCCTCAGCCCCAGACACATTCAAGGGAAGAGACCCTAAATGGGCTGACATAGGGTTGGTGTCCACTTAGGGTCTGACCAGCTGGGGCCCAAGACTGGCAGGACGGGTGTCCTTGTGACCCCCTCGAAGTACCCAATGCCTACTCTGTTGTAACAACTGGGGGCATCATGGACCCCGGATAACTCCTTGGTGTGGGAGTGCCTTAGGAATTGTAGAGCTCCTCAGAATCCTGGCCCTGGGCCCACCAAGTACCAGTGGCACTGCTGACTGTCATATGTAAAGAGATCTCCAGACCTGGACAGGTGTCCACGAAGGGGTTAAACACACGCCTGTGAGAACCACCACTCCAGAGCACAGGGAAATCTATGTGGTTTTCTTCCCACTGGGGTCGGTGCAGAGCACTGTGGGAGTGGTGTGTGGTGGGTTCACTCTGCCTGCACCCCCGTCCCACCCACTCAGGCCTTCCTGCAGTGGCGATAGCACCCCACAGCACGGCACTTTCCAGGACCAGCTAGGCAACGCGAGCCGAGCAAAGTGGTTTCTGAGCATCCCAGGGCAGGCAGAGGCCCTCTGCCCAAAGGTTGCCCCAGAGGAGACTTGAGGCGGTGTGTGTGCCAGGCATGCAGGGGCTGGCCTACGCAGGCCAGGCATGTGCAGGATGTGTGTGGGCCCCTGGAGAACATGGAGCAGGTTGATTCTGTAGCAGCGGCCTCTTCTAGATGCCACCACTGGGAGCTCACTTCCAGGGCCCCTGTGCCCCAGGCCTCTGACAGCTCCATCTGCAAGTGTCTTCCTCACTGATTTTACCATCGGACCCAGATCCCAAGAGGGGCAGCCCCTCCTGGCTCCCAGCCACTCCCTTCATAGCAGGGTATGCAGACCTGCCAGTGTAGCTTGCCATCTTTCTTCTAAATATATAACACCTTTATTGAGATACAGTGCACACTCCACACACTTCACCCTGGTCAAGTGTGGGGTTCAGTGATTTTTGGTTCGCTTGGGGAGTCTTGCACCTATCACCACAGCTGATGTAGGAGCATTTACGTCACCTGAAAGAAACCGGGGGCCTGTATGTAGGAATCTCTGGTTAGTTATTTCACTTATTCCTTCACTGAACAATTGTAGGAGTAATCATTCCTGTCATTCCTGCCTAGACTTGTGGTCAAGACAGAGTATTGGAAATGTGCACAGCTCAGTCTTAGGCTATGACCTGTGTTGGGCTATGGTAGATAAGAAAAAGTGGCCTGGGTTGGTAGCAGGCTGATTGCCCTCTGACTGGTCTCAGAATCCTGGGCCTGAACACCAACCTATAATGATCATCTAAGTGCTCATCACGAAGCATAATTTCTTCTAAACAGACAACTACATTCATTAGGTAAAATTACTCTTGTATAGTCGTGCACCACCCAGAGAATTTTAGTTGGTGACAGATCACACATACAATGGTAGTCTCATAAGATTTTGCCACTAGTGGTATTGGTGGCATCTTTGTTTGTGGAAATGTACTTTGTGATGTTCTAATGATAATGAAATCACCCAAGGAAATGTTTCTCAGAATCTGTCCTCATTAAGGGACACATGGCTCTAGCTAGTACTATTTCTAGCTCTGCTGTCTGCTTTTGTGTTGTAGTTCTTACCTCTGCTTCCTTCACTGGGAGCTTACGAGGAATTGGCAAGTGATTCTCTCCCAGACCAGTGTACAAATAAATGGACAGGGTTAGATTTATTTGCACTGTAAAAACACATACATGACTGATTGCCTGCTCATTTACAAGCATTAAAAATATATGTCTACATAGAAAGACTCCTGCCATTGTCGCCCTGACCCTTTCCTTCCCAGAAGTCAGTGCCTCTGGCACCTGAAGTGCGTTCTGCTTTCCTGCCACTCAGATTTGAAACTTTTAAAATGCAAAGGAAGTTAAGCTACCCTGTTGGTCTGAGATGTGCTTTTCTATCTGGAAGTGTTGCTTGTCAGTTTACATCTGTGTGCCCTGTTTGTCCTTCAACTTCCTAGGTGAAGAATTTTCTAGAATGCTCCCCCCACCCCAGGCTGTTGTTTTAGTATATTTATGCTGCCTCTATATTTTTCTCTTCTTTTCTTTCTCTTTGTATTGTATTGTAATGGCATTTCACTTGTTATATATTTTATAGGCAAGTACAAGACTTTCTCTTCCTGTAGAGTACCATCTTCCAGAGTAGAATCATTTGTTCACGGAGTAGATGTATTTCAAATATTTTATAGACTCTACTAAGCTGCTGTCCAAAGCATTTCCAGCATTTAACCTTCAGCTGGCAGTGTCTGAGAGACCATTTGCTCTTAGACAAAACCTACCGCCCTTTTAACTTCACAGACACGTGTCTGAGATTTCCAGTGAGCCCACGTTTCCAGGGGTCCTTGTTTGAACAATCTCGGTGCCACTGTTTTACAAGCAGATTTCTTCATCTCTATTTGCAGGACAGCTGTGCGAGAGTGCTGCTGTTTCGGGGTGGAAATAAGGAATTGAAAAACTACAACAGCCAGACACCATTTCAGGTAAGGAGAGCTCTAGACATGTTGCAGTGCCTGTGTGTGAGCCATCGGGGGCCACAGCTCCATTCCCACATGCTGCATTGCATGTACGACGTGAGGTTGCTCTCTGCGCTGTAGGCATTCCCAGTGTCAGAGGCTGCGCTGTGGCTCCAAGCACCCAAGCTACTCGTGTCTCTGGGTTTGCTTGTGTCTTACTTCCTACTGGGCCAGATGACGAGAATAACTCAGAGGCTTGTGTCGTGGAATATTCTAGAAAGGCAACGTCATCAGGGCTGCTTTCAGTTCTGCAGCTGTTGGGAAGTGTGGGCTCTGACATCTATCGATTGAAGTGGGCAAGCTTCATGGGAGGGATATTTAGTCAACACCTCTGCTCTGTGCCATTCCAGAAGGTCGGAAGAACCACATGTACCTGGCATGGCCATGGGGTTCCAATGGTGGAACACATAACCAGTTCTTAAGTGTTTGAAACATTGGGCAGAACACATATAACACAAAAGTTAACTATCTTAGCTATCTTAACATATAACAAATTAGTGACATTGAGAACCTTCATGATATTGTACAACCAATCACACTGCCTAGTTAGAAACTCTTTCCCACAGGAAACCTTGCACTCCAACCAAGTCACTACCATTCCCTCTCCCCTTGGCCTCTAGACGTCCACTAATCTACTTGCTGTCTGGACAGACATACCTGTTCTGGACATTTCATACAATACCAATTTCTAAGTCACCATACACCATGTGGTTTGGGTTTTTTTTTGTTTTTGTTTTTGTTTTTGTTTTTCTGTTTGGCTTCCTTTGCTCAGTATAGTGTTTTCAAATTTTGTCTCTGTTGCAGCAGGCATTAGTGCCTCTTTCTTTTTCATGAGTGAATAACATTCTCTTGTTTGTATTTTTATACTTTTGACTGTACACACACACACATTAAGTACCCTGTTAGAGACACCTTTTAGTTCTATATGCAGTCAGTGGATATATACCCACTTAAACTGTGGAGACCAGGATACTCTTTATTTGGAAATAACTTTTATATTTTAATGAGCTGAGAGAAGCTTTTAATTTAGAACTGGGCTACACAGATGATTTTTCTAATGCTCTTCTTAGACATTACTAACATATACAGACTTGGTGCCTTGAAAATGAGTCAGTTCAGTTCGACACCTGGGCCCAGAGGTTACCATTGCACTCAAGAATTTCCTGATTTCTTCAGTCATGCTAGGTTTCCATTTCAGTGTTGCCTCTTGCTGCTTGCAAATGTTTTGCACACACAGGCTGGCAGAAGTGAGCTCCTGGCTTGCCGATGGGTCTGGAAAGATTACAGTGACTCTCTAGGGAAATTTCCTCTTCCTGGTGGTGGATGTGAAGGGCCATGGGCCCTTTCACTTCAAGGGGTAACTACATCTGCCCTCTGGGGTTAGCTGTGGACTTGGTGGGCCTAGTTTACAGATCTTTTTCTTTTCTTTTTGCAACTTTCTTTGGTTCTTTAAACAGAAGTTGCTTAAATCGCTTAGGAATAGCAGCTGATGCTCTTTGAGTCACAGCAGGTGCTTAGATAGTACAAGAGTGCTCACTCTGATTCTTCCCACTGTGGCTTACAACCAGTACATGACGCACTGGGGAAGTGAGTCTTCCATGCCCTTCAGAACAACAGGCCAATCCAAATGCCCCCTTTCTGTCGGGGCCCTGCTGTCCCTTCACCACAGTGAGCACCTGAGATGGGGACATCTTTTGTGCCTGAGTCCTGGCAGGATGTTTAAAACACTCTCCTGGCAGCAAAACTGCACCAGCACAAACCCAGGGCCACTGGAGCACTGTGACAAAACGCTGTTGAATTGATCTGACTTTGTACCTCCAAATGCTGCCCGTGTAACCAGTGGGATCAGAGCCCAGCTGCTGTGCACATCTGGAATGGGCTCCATGCACAGCTCGGGAGTTGGGTTCCTCTAGGTCTTGTGTTTCAATAACGTGTAACAAGTGAGTTCATTCTGTGGATCTTTACCCTCACCACGGCCTCAGCTCCCACTTGACATTGTTTTTCTCATCCCAATTGTGAAAACTGCATCACTGATATTGAGTTTGTGAGGGAGAGGATAGGTCACTGCATCACTTAAGAAGAACCAAATGCGCTCACCTAGAAAGTGGTGGTGCTGTTTGCTATCATTTGGAAAACGGGCTTTTTTGTAAGAAATCATGGTGGGGTTCATCTGGAACTACCTTTGCTTCATGACTCAATTCTGATGCTGGCCCAGCAGCACCAGGAGGATCCAGAACCTTGAGGGAAATGTCGGTTCTCAGACTTCACTGCACCCCGTGGAATCAGAGCTCCTGTTCCAAAGAGGTCTCCAGGGACTCTGATCCTGCTCAGGTTTGGGAATCAAAAGACAAAAACAATTTAAGGAAAAGAAAAAAGAGGAGGAGCGCTTACAGCATCACATGGGTGCATCTTCCACAGCAATGGTGGTGATGGTGGTAAACAGTGGTGATGAACCTTTTACAGCCTTGAACGATACCAACAGCCCATGCGGCTCCTGGGCCTTAGGTTCACCACCGCTGGTGGTAAAGATGGTGATGATGGTGATGATGTTGGTTGAGAGGACAGGGATAGTTGTAGTGATGGTGATGGTAGCGAAGGTCGTGAGGAGGCCACTGAGAATGATGGTGATAATAATAATGATGCGTCTTTCCCCTTTTGGAGATTTTCAAAAGCTCCCAACCTAAGCTTTTTAATTCTCAATTTATGGGAGGAAAGGAGATAAAGAGGCATGAGTTAATGTTATGGCTGGCATCTAAAGTGTCCCTAACAAGGTTCATTGTGTCAACGGCTGGTGGGTTTTTGAGAAGTGATGGGGTCGTGAGGGCTTTAACATCATCGGTGAGTCAATCCGTGGATTCATTCAGAGCACGTTAGAAGGTAGGACCTGATTGATGACACTGGTCACTGCACGGTGGCCGTGAAGGATATGCTTTGTCTCTGGCCCTCTCTCTGCTTCCTATCTGCTGTGAGCTGCTTTGTTCTACCCCACGTTTCTGCCTCTCCATGGGCCCAGAGTAGCAGAGCCAAGTGACCATGGGCTGAAACCTCTGAAGCCATGAGTGAAAATAAACTCTCCCTCTGCACTCTGTCACTGTGACAGAAAGCTAACACATGGAATTCCAAGAATGACGGAGCCAGTAAGGCCCCAGTTCCTGACTTCCAGCCCAGCTCCTGGCAGGTAATGAACCTTGCATCCTGGCATGGAGTAAACATTAGGCCCCCTTCATAGTGTTCGGAATAAGACAGCAAACATCCTGAAGATGAAGAGAAACAACAGGAGAAACTCCGGAAATGAGATCCAAAGTCGAGGCAGGGCCACAGCAAGGGAGAGAGACAGAAGTGGCAGAAACAGGCAGCATGACAAGTTGTTATATGACAAGGTGCCATTACCCAGTTGCCTACCTGGACACTAATGTGCACATGGCCACAGAGGTACTGTGTAGATGCGGTGAAAGTACAGGAGCTGACCCTCCAACGTGCACGCTTGTCTCGTTCAATCAATGGGAGGACCTCAGAGAGAAAACTGAGAAGAAATTCTGCTTCAACACCATGGTGTCTGCACCAGCCTTAGTGTCCACCTGCCGGCCTTCCTGTGAACATTGGACTTGCCAGCTCCACGGTTCTGTGATTCACATCCTTAAAACAGGGGTCCCCAACCTTTCTGGCACCACGGAATGGTTTTGTGGAGGGCATTTTTTCCTATGGATTCGGGGAGTGTTGATTCAAAGGAGTATGAAACCTAGATCCCTCTCATGCTCGGTTCACGGTAGGGTCCATGCTCCTATTAGAATCTAATACTGTCTCTGACCTGACAGGAGGCGGAGCTCAGGCAGCAAGTGAAGGGAAACGGCTAATAAAAGCAAATGAAGCTTCACTCATCTATCCACTGCTCACCTGCTGTCAAACCAGGTTCTTAACAGGTCATAGACTGGGACTGGTCAGTGGCCCAGAGGTTGGAGACACCGGTCCTAAAAATAGACCTTCAATATATGTGTGTGCACAGAGCTATGTATATATAAAGATCTACACACAGATCTAGATGTGCACATTGATACATTTGTCCATTAGACTGCACTTACGTGAGCGCGTGCGCGCGCGCACACATACACACACACACACACACACCTCCAGCCCATCTTTTTAGCCAGCTCTGTCTGATGGATGAGAGAGAGCTGATCTGAGCCACTCCTGCCTCTCCAGATGCATGAGATAAGGCTTCACTGTATGGAGCTGAGCCCTCAGGCCCAGCAGCACACAGGCAGAGAAGGTTACCTGCCTCCCAGTGCCACCTGTCTCCTGGGTGCAGCCAGCAGTTGCCAAGTGGACGTTGAAAAGCAGAAAGGGTGGAGGAAACTAGAAAAGGAAACGGTAGTGAGAGACATCCAGAATGGCCTGAAGTCCAGGCGTAGCATGGGTCAGGTGGCTGGCTGGGATGGGGCAGAGCAGGCCTCAAAGTGGAAACCTCCCAGTGGCTGAGGTATCCTGTGTCCAGGCTGCCCCTAGGATCACCCACCCATAGACTGCACCCTTTCCCAGTGGGGTGATGGAGCTGGGCTCCTGCATACTGCACTTGGTGAAGAGGTGACCAAAAACTCCCTACAGGGATAGTGAGGGTGGCCAGGCCCAAGGATGAATGCCAGGGCCTGAGACCTCGTTTCCTAGGTGTGACTGACTCCCTTATTGTTTGCTGGTGATCAGCCCAGCCTGCAGGCCCTCTCCCAACCCTCAGGGGTAGGGCAGAAAGTTCCTTCCCTTTAGTCACATGGGCAGCTTCCCCGGGCAGCAGCCCCATCTTTAGGGATACCCAGAAGTCCCATGATGTTGACATCAGCTCAAATGTAGTTAAAGGGGGGTTGTTAGAAATAACCAGAGACAATCCTGTCACCTTCACAGTGTCTAGGAAATTTCAAGTGCCATAGGTGCTCTGTACCAGGCCTGGGGACAAAGACCAAATTTCTGTTTCTTAT